TCAAATATGTATTTTTTAACTGTTCACTTTATTAGTTGACAGTAACTCAATCAATCGCCATGCTACAAACTTGCCTTAATAATGTTGCCTTCCAGATGAAAAATCTATGCAGGTACCATATCTACTTGCCCACCTATTTTAACAAGCAATGCCCAAATACAGCAGCCTGCAAAATACATCTGGATAGAAAACTAACCCGGATTACATAAATATTCAAAAAGTTTAAAATTACATCACGTGTCACATTACGAAACCTGTCTTCGATAATAAGCTGTTGATATAGAAAAATGCACTAAAACCCATATGGAGTCATGGAGTCCAATGAGGGGGGTACTACAGCACTCTTAAACCTGAGATTCCAATTTTAAATACTACGCATGAGCACAAATGCACCTTGGTATGTAACGAATGAACAGTTGCATAAACAACTTCATGTTCCGACAATCAAGGAAGATATATGTCGAATTATAAAGAATCACGCTCCTAAACCCACTGGTCACACACCTGATGTTCTCTTCCAACACTTTTACAAGACTGATCACACACCTGATGTATCCTTCCAACACTTTTACAGGGCTGAGAAAGAAACCTCGAGAGACATCTTAGAAATGAATACGTTGGTCACACATAAAAATACTTGACAAATTTTCTTTTTAGAGTAAAGTATGAGCAGATTAATCATCAGTATGAATGTCTGCTAGTATTTCATAGGTAATTTTTTATTTTCTGTCACTTTACACAATTAATCTGCACATATAGAATTTTTTTTTATTAAAAAATAAAACTACAGAAAATGCTTATTTGATCTAAGGTTCAATATGTTTCGATTCAAAGGATGTTATTATGTTGTACATTCTCTTATTTACTACGTGAAGTGTTTCAGTGACGAATGGATCGGTTATTTTGATTCTATTTTGCTTTTAAAATGTATCTACACACTTATTGCATATAAACTTTAATAATTAACAGAAAATTAATAATATTTTATTTGACATAGTCTTGTTTTAAAAACAATAACCCGATTATACAACTGGTGTGCTAAGTGATATGATGCCTTAACAAAAGTAATTAAGACTAATTTATTTTATTATCTTTTTTTAGCTTTGAGGTAGTTTACAATATATAACTTTAATTAGAAATTATTCATTAGGTTGACATCAATTAATATAACATAAAGATTTTATATAACAACGAAAAAAAAATAATCGTAGTCAATAAACTCCCATAGGGCGATCCTTTTAGTAGAAGCAATTTATGTTCATTAGCTTAACTGATCATTTAGACATGGTGTATATATTTTACATATTAAATAAATTACGACACTATAACTATAAATTAAGATACTTTAACTAGGAAAGTACTTTATAATATACTTCACTACAGGCAAAGGGACGAAATATATCCGCCAACCGGATATTGTTAAACATTGCTTAACATTGGTCGAACTTTTACAATACTTCTGGTTATAGTTTATACATAGATTTTGTTGAAAAAATTTGAGAATCTATAAGTTTTGATATTACATTGAAGAGTAAGTGAGAAAGTGACTCTATTGTCACTTTCTGACTATCTGATGTGTGTTTGTTATTTCAATACTGACTTACTACTTAGTTGGCCTTTACATTCGTGAGTCATCTTTGGCCGCTTTGAATAGTTTCTCCTAGTTAACTCGATCAGTGACTTGCTGTCGCCATTTAGTAGTGCCGAGTACCTTTATATCGTTGGCCACCAGATCACCCGAATTTTTCTTCAGCGGGTATTGAATTAACCAGAGAATTTTCTTTCAATCGCCAGATATGATCAAGCCAAAGGAGCTGCTAAATTTTTATACGCTTATGTCAATATCAATGTCGTGGTTAGCTGGAACAACTCATCCCTCCACTTAATTCGATACTCGTTACCAACGCAATCAGTTATTATAATATTGAAGTATTGAAAGCTTATAGAACTAGCAAAAACCTTCAAAACATTGACAATAAAATAACAACAAGGAATGTTGGATATCATTTTAAATATCTTATTTTGTCCAAATGATTGCAGAATTATATAACGTTGGTACTAAAAGTTCCATATCATCGTGAGGAAGCATAAAATATTACTGAATTTAAAAATGTTAAGCTTTGATCGACTGTTGATAAGAACGTTTAAGATTAAGAGATTTATTTGCCACGAATGTAGTCCACATATAGGTAGTTTGAACGTAATTTTGGGATCTAACATAACATCTAAGCATGTTAAATCTCCGGCAAACGGCTTAATCGGCATATCTGTAAGCTTTATATAAATTATTTGTTTCCTTAAATAAATTATTTAGTACACAGTTTATTTATTAAATATATATTTCACTCAATGCACATGGTTTAAACTCAAGAGCGAAAACTAAAAACTGACTGACTACTTTATTCGTAAGGGGAGTTTATGAATCTCTTGCGCATGAGTGTTTGAAGTTTTCGTAGAGATCTTCGGGTATTTTTATTGAAACACTCGTGCGTTGCTGACTACATGTTAACTCCTTCCTCTATAAGGAATAGTCGTCCTCGGTCTCTTTGCATTCAATACAATATGTTAATAATTATTGAAATATTTAACAAAATATTTATAAAACAAAAATATGTTATTAATTTAAAAACCTTTGTACATTGCTCACAATAGTTAATATCATACAATTGTGTAATCAAGAAAACTCTTAAAACATTAGTGCATCAGCTCGCTTCGCTCTTGCAAACCTCTACAGAATATTATCTAAGGTTGTCCTTATGGACCACCCTCCCCTTTATGAGAACAGACGATCCAAGGTCTGCTTCCACCTTTCCTTCGACGCACAATGGTGTTACTTTGTTTCCCAGTCTTCTATTTGTTTTTATGTTTCGCTTGCTTGGAAGCTGATCTACGTGAGCTTCTCTAATTTTGCTCTCTATTTCCTATTGTAGTTCAGGTGGAGCTGAATGTAGAATTTCAATTGTTTTTTTGTTGGTTGTGGTATAAATTGACCCATTGTGTGCTATGGTTGCCTGCATTATTAGTTCGACTGTGTCGTCAATTTTCTTATCAATTTTTAGACATCTAGCTGATCACGTGTTAACTTATATACAATAAATAAAAAAATGAAATAATACATAATACTAATACTTTATAAAATACTATTTTAAATTTTACCTTCATTCCATTATATTATTAAAAATGATAGAAATTTGTGAAAAATACTATTTGCTATTACTTACCATAAAGTGATTGTCAATTTTGTAATACCTATATAACTCTCCATTGTTTTTAAGATTTTCAATATTTTGCTGATTTTTATGATGTTTCGGAAAGATGAAGGATCTTTATCTAATATTTCCAGTTAATAGTTCCAAGATTTATTTCAATGACGTTTCGGTGAAGGATGAAGGACCTTTATCTAATATTGCCAGTTAATAGTTCCAAAATTTATTTCAATGATGTTTCAGTGAAGGATGAAGGACCTTTATCTAATATTGCCAGTTAATAGTTCTAAGATTTATTTCAATATTCTAAAATCTTAACTTATACAAGGTGGGCTTAAGTACTAGAGCTTGATCTTATAGAAAAAACATTCCTATTTGTTTGCCAAACCTTCTTATAAAATTTGTTCTTTTAATTAATTCCATTATTTCTGAGGTGAAAGTGTTGGTGAATATATTTTTTCTTAAGAACAGATACTTTAGCATATTATTACTAAAAGTATTCACCACGTTAACAATACCTTTCCAATTTTAAATAGAGCGTCTTCAATTTTGGTTGAAAGAAAGTGCTTTTGTGCAATTAACTGTTAACGCATAAAAAATTATCCTTCATTTCAGTAAAGGCAAAAATTTCTGACAAACTTAAATTTGATGAAGTAACTGCCTGACAAATGTCCTTAAATTTATGAGAACAAATAAACGAATTAAGAACATAAAAAGTCAACACCACAAAGAAATTAACAATAAAAAAGGAAAATAATAATAATAACAGTAAAAGTAAAAGGAAAGGTAAAAGAAGCATAACATAACGCACTTTGAATGTTAGACAAATACCTAGGCGACTTTGCAAGGGAAAGGTACGCAGCATGCGGCTATTTCCCTTTAAATGCGTCTGTATACATTACAAGATCCTGAATATATACACGTGTGTCCTGTTTTATGTGTTTATGTGTGTTTTACTAAGGGGATTATATAAAAAATAAAAGTCACTCGCACACTTTTCGCATTGTTATCAACAACTTCCCAGGTGGGCAAACAGAAGGCTAGACGCAGAGCAATGAGCTTAACACTACTACCGAGCAACTTCGGGACACTACAGAGCGATTTAATCTTTACAGACAAATTTATTCAAATTTATTTTAATGCTGCTACAATTCCCGTGAAGGAAACTGGAACTGAACGCAGGGAGTAAACAACAAGAATATGAAAAAAGCGCCACAATAGCATCAGTGACAAAAATTTTAACTACTCTAACAACACCCATTCATGTATTTGCTAAATTTTAAGGACTTTATGGATGGACGGACTGCTCGCCGCTTAATAATCGTTATAATAATACTACTAAAGTGTTCATGAGCTGGTAAAAATATAAAACATGGCGCTACTCGCCCATTTTATTTTCATTTGATGTTCCGCCAAAAGGCAAATGCTGTGCGAA